CACACACACACACACACACACACACACACACACACACACACACACACCCCTAAAGTACAAATAACTGAGCAGATTCCTTGCTATTTTGCGTTTTTGAAAAATCCTATTTCCAAACAGTGCATTTCACACAAATAGGGCCCTTTATCCAGGGCACCACACTTTTTAGCCCTCTGACAAGTTGTTAGATATCCCAGTCTGCAGGTGTCTCACATACACAGCATTACTCAGAATCAGAAAGAAAGCAGAGGAGGGGGTTAGAAGTTCTGTCTCTCAACCAACCACATCCAGGCTATTCATTTTATACTTCTTCATGCTAATGAAGGTCTTGGTTGGGGATGGGTCATATTTTCCTACCTCACCCTAAGACAACAAGGTTTGTATATGGCTCAGTGCTAGGCTTCCCTGACCACAGCAGGGACCCTCTGCAAGAGTCCAAACAATATCAGACAGGAAGCCACAACAACCAGGTGTGCATCAGACCTGTAAACGTTTCCGTCTTACCTACCTATTTGTTTTTTTTTTCCCTCTTTCTTACATTTTCCCAAACCAGCCAGCGTGGAGGCAAGACATCTCAAAGCAGAGATGGGAACCGAAAGAGCTCTTGTGCTGGACAGATTAGCGACCAACGTGGCCAAACGAAAAAGCTCGATGCCCCAGAAATTTATTGGTAAGAATACAAGCCCTTTGCCTGCTGCTGTTAGCAGATCCGTCTGAAGGAGATAACCCAGAGTGCATGTTACACAAAGGCCATCCTTGCCCAGTCTAGGTTTAAATAAGTAATTTGTTTCTCATTATATTGTCTTTTTATTTCATGCTAGCTTATTTTTTATTCTAAAAGGTCATTTTGATGCATGGAGCAAATAGGAAGAATTTGATTAACTAAAGAAGGACAAATAAAAATTATGCAAATATTTGGAATTCCTACTTAATAAATAGAATTTTATTTTTTATAAAAAAATTATAGTTTCTTCCTTGTGTGACATGTATTGAATAGAAGATTTTTTTTTCACCTTCCCTTATTTTTGTGTCAAGATAGCATTATGGTCAGCCTTTTCATATTTTTCTACTTGAAGCTCTTTGGTGCTCCAATTGATTTCATACTTTGAAAAATATTGCCATGTTTTCCTAGAATGGGCCAGGGATTGACTTTGAAGAGAGAGTACCTAAAAAACAAACATCTTAAATAGCAAGATTTGATGGAAATGTTTTGCTTGCTGGAGTTAATTTTTATGTCATTGGCTTTCACCTTGTTAGAAAATGGTGCAAAATGAGATGACTAAAAAACAGTTCTGTTTCTTAAAATGTTTCAACTGTTGAGGACCATCAACATTTTGATAAATTCTCCCAGATGTTTGCATGCATGTGACCATGATAATTAAAGGAGATTTATTTTTGTGAAGTGGACAGCTGAAAAGAATGCATTAGGTTTACTTATAAATTGGTTTCAAGGCACTGATGTCGAACAAAAATAGTTATCCAAATCAAAATAGAGCTGCTTTGCCACACAGAATTTTAGCAGCACCATCAGGCACTTTATCACATCTATTTATCTCTAATCTCATCTCTATTTCTCACCCTACTACCATCCTCTCATATCTTTTACAAAGGCCAATTGCCTACCCTACTCTTGAACTGGGTGAAATTTAATTTTGGTCTGGAGAGGTTTTTTTTCTGCATAGGGATGTTGTGATAAATTAAGAGAATACACGTTTCAGGGTTATCTAACTTGGATCTTTCTTTGGTTTTATTCCTGGACAAATGATTTTCATACCACTGGACAGATTAAGTATAAATTGTGTTGGACTGCTGAACGATACATTTTAATTTAGACTGAGTAAGACCCTTCCTGATCCTTAGGGAATGTGGTCAAGCAGTGAATCTTGCAGGGTTTTGGGTACAGAATTATGATTCTGACAAATTTTATAAGGTAACATGCATCCTTGAATACTTAGAGTTTCTGAAGACAGCACACAAGTAAAGCTTTGAATAGTTTGAAACAGTAGGGTCAAAGGATCATAGATTTAGAGCTCACAGGAACCTGAGAGACCCTTTAGTATGATGCCTCCATTTTACAGAAGAGGAAACTTCAGCTCAGAAAGTTTCTGATTTGCCCGGTGGAGCAGAGGCAAGATTCCAAATCAAGTCTTGCAAAACCAAACACAGCACTCCATCTTTCTTTATTCCCAGATCCTGTCAGCTAGGTGGCACAGTGGATAGATTGCTGGGCCTGAAGTCAGGGAGAAGAAGACCTGAATTCAAATCTAGCCTCAGATACATACTAGCTGTGTGAACCTGAACAAGTTTTCTTAACTGCTGGCTGCCTCAGTTTCCTCAACTGTGAAATGGGAACAATATTAACAACACCAAATTCCCAGGGTTATCATGAGGATCAGATGTGATAACATTTATAAAAGTATACAGTTCCTGGCACACAGTTGGTGCTTAATAAATGTTTCTTCTTTTTCCCTTCCCTTACCCCCTGCTCTGTTATTTGCATTCATAGTTTTCTTTTAAGACTGGAAAGACCTTGAGTAGAAACACTTTGGTTAATATTTGAATCTGGAGAAAGAGTTGATTTAATCAGAAGGGTTGAGGGCGATCGAGTAAAGAGGGATGGGAGAAAATTAATATTTTGAAAATTTGAAAACTGATTAATATGTTGCTGAATTTTAAGCCAGTAATAGATGATGCATTTTTCCTTGAAGGAACGGAAATAAAGGACTATTAATATATATTTAATTAATTTTATATGTTTAATATTTATATCTAATATATTCTATATTTAATATAGTAGGTTATATTACATACTTAGTATATAATTAGCCAATTATTATTACTGAATTAAACCTCTTTTGGGGCTATAGTCTCAGGTAACATATTTCAAATATAATACAATACACTTTGGACTTGACTGCTTTTTGCTGTTTGTGGCCATAGGATTTCAATATTTCACCCCCAGACTAGTGTCAAGTACTTTGGAGCAGAGGTGTCAAACGAACACTCCCCAGGGCTGCCTGAACCAGATTAAATGTAACTGGGAAATATTTAACACAATAAATAAAAATACAATAAAACATAGGTAGCATTACATTTTCCAACCAATCTGCGCCTGCGGGGATTACTGGCCCTCATTTGTATTTGAGTGTGACACGACTGCTTTTGACTTCTTAGACGTTGATTTCCCCCTATCATCTGAGTCATCAAACAGCAGCACCTGCTATGTTTGACAGGGAATCTGAACTGAGGTAGCAGATTCAAGGCTTCTTGGCCCTATATAATAACTGGGAATTGCTTAGCAGAAAGCATGAATGATAGAGATAACAGAAGAGAATATGTGAGCTAGCCATTATGGCTATCATTTTGTGTTTATATTGTCCATGTTTGGCACTTGTAACTTTATTTTTCTCAAAGTTGTAAAGCTATGTCAGGATGATTAAAAATAAGGATAGTATGCAATGTTCATTATGAAAGTTTTTCCCAGCATGCATTGTGGGAAGACTGTTCCTGGCCATGGCATAAAATCCTGGTTCTGACACTTATTAGCGGATTGACTTTGGGCAAGTGAATAACCTTCCTGAGCCTTGATTTCCTCATCTGTAAAATCAAGAATGATAGGTATGCCATTTACTTAATAGGGTTGTTGTGGAGAAAGTGCCCTGTGAGCCACAACGCTCTTAATCTTCATTATTATTATTATTATTAATATTAATTATTATTACTTCAGAGATTCCTGGTTTCATTAGAATAGGCACCCCTTCCGCCAATGCAGTTCACACACAATCCCCTTTATACCTTAGGAAACTATCCTCATGATGGCTGGAAAATTCCTTACCAAGTAGTCAATTTTGTGTTGTTATTAAGCAACAGCAATTAAACAGCATGTATCATATGACACCAAGCTATACATGTGTTGCCAGATTAACTTGGTGCTGTTTTAGCTGCAACCATAGTACCTCTCTCTCAGTATTCTGTAAATAGAATCAGAGAATTTGCAGAAGAAAATTAAGACTAGGCAAATGTTCATGTGTTTTACCTAAGATGGTACCGCTGTCCAAAGTAAAGCACTAAGCCAGCCTTCCAGCATTAACTTATAACCTTCACTCTTAGCTTAATTACTTCTTCCTCAGTCAGTCATATCATACTCATTTAGTGCCTTCTGTGTGCTAGGCACTGTGCCAAGCCCTGAGGAATACTGAGAAAGGCAAAAGATAGTCCCTGCCCTCATAGAGCTTACAATCTCGTGGGGGAGAAAACATGTAAAAAACTATATACAAACAGGCTATGGACAGGATAAATTGAAGATAATTGACAGAGGATTTGAGAAAAGCAGAAGATGGAATTTTAGCTGGGACTTGAAGGAAGCCATGGGGTACAATGGGAAAGAGGAGAGAATTCCAAGCAGGAGGACAGCAAGTAAAAATGCCCTCAGTTGGGATATAGTGTCTTGTTCAAGAAATGGCAAGGAGGTCAGCATCATTAGATCTGAGAGTAAGTGAGGGTGGGAGGTATAATAAGACTAAAAAGATGAGGGGGCAGGAAGAGTTCTTTTTCTGACTATCTGAAGAACTGGGACATGGTTTTTTAAAGCCATAAGCTCCCAGGGAGATGGGTAAGGTGTGAAGGAAGAATGAGTCACTCCCTTTAATACTTGAAGCCAATTACAGAGTACTCAGACCGATCTTGGCTTTCCTAACCTCTTGAACTGTAAAAGCAAAGGTCAAAATGTGCCATCAGGGCAACGTGTTGTACAGACACTGGTTATCACACCCTAATTGGGCAGTACTTTTCATGTGTTGTAAATGAAGGGCCTTGATTAAAGCTTAGAGCAGGCTGGACATGCAGAAATTGCTTTTATTGAGGAATAAGACTGTAAACACAAGCTGCCAGTGGAGAGAAGAAAAAAAAAACCTATTTCTAATTGATTCTCCAGGAAATTCTCTGTAAAGTAGGAAATACCATGATGATACATACTCATGGGCCAACATCCTTACATCATTGAAATAAACTTTTTTTAGCTATTCTTATGAAAGGCCAGGACATTACTTTTGATAGCGCATATCTTTCTCTAGTTTTCCTTTCTCAACGTGTTGTTTTACTGACAAAACCTTATTTTGCTCAGTTCCTAACAATACCACCATCGAACCACTGGGCCCAAGATGAAAGCACGGATTCCCCATTTAGGGGACAAAGGAAAAAAAGCACAATTCCTTTCTCTGGATTTTCTTTCTTCCTCAAAACAGACTTGCAGTTTAGAACAAGGAGTACAGAGTTTCCCTTGCTTTTTTTATTTGACTTATTCCTCATGGTAAAGGATGTTTTCCTCACGATGAGAACAACACATACACATATGCAAAAATCTCTCACCCATTGTAAGAATATTAGTGAAATTCTGACACTTTAGAATCATAGACCACCAACTTTCTGTGTGAAGCAGTTAATGAGAAGCCGCTTCCTTGGGCTAAAAGAACTGTAGGAAGCAGTTTCACTACCTGTTTCTAAGAGTGAAGACTACCTGTGCCCTCTCCCTTCTTGGAGACCTAAAGGATCCCTGGCCTCTAAGCTTCCCTGAGCTGAGGTGTGCCTATGTGGCCCATTGTGGGTCAGGGAAAAAACTTGACGAGTGAAAAATGGGGGAACAAAAGCTCCTTGGGTGTGTGGATGGGGGTG